AGTGAGGGGTGTGGGGTATATCAGAAAGTGTCACAGTGAGGGGTGTGAGGATATCAGAGTACGTTACAGTGAGGGGTGTGGATATATCAGAGTATTAGAGCGGGGGTGCCACGTTTATCAGAGAGTTACAATGAGGAGCGTGGGGTATATCAGAATGTTACACTGAGTGGTGTGGGCTATATCTGAGTGTTACAATGAGGGGTGTGCAGTACAACAGTGAGTTACAGTAAGGGCTGTGCAAAATATCAGAGTGGGGCAGTGAGGGGTGTGGATTTTCATCAGAGCTGCAGTGAAGAGAGTGGAGTATATCAGTGTTGTGGTGAGAGGTGTGGTGTATATCAGAGTGCTGCACTGAGGGGTGTGAGGGTATATCATAGAGTTACAGTGAGAGGGGTGAGGTACATCAAAGTGTTAGAGTGAGAGGTGTGGGGTATATCTGAGTGTTACAGGGAGCAGCATCATGTTTGGAGGAGTGTAGCGCCCATAGAAGGTTAGAGAGAGGAAGCATTATAGAGTCTTGAGGAGTTTGAGTTTGATTTATTGTTGTCACACGTACAAGATACAGTGAAAGGTGTTGTGTTGTGCGCTCCAAAGGCAGATCGTACAATACAAGTATATCAGGGTAACAGACAAGTGCCGAATACAGTGTTACAGCCACAGAAAAGATGCAGAGAGCGAGCGAAATCAACATTAACATTTGAGAGGTCTGTTCAAGAGTCTGATAACAGTGGGGAAGTAGCTGTTCTTGAATCTGTTCTTCCATGTTTTCAAACTTTTGTATCTTCTGTCCAACAGAAGAGGGTAGAAGAGAGTATAACCAGGGTGGGAGGGGCCGCTTTGATTATGTTGGCGGCTTTCCCGTGGCAGTGGGAAGTATAGATGAAGTCAGTGGAAGGGAGGCTGGTTTGTGTGATGGACTGGGCTGTGTTCACAACTTTCTGAGGTTTCTTGCAGCCTTGGGAAGAGCAATTGCCATACCGCACTGTGATGCATCCCAAATAGGACGCTTCCTATGTTGGATCTATAAAAAATGGTACAAGTGTTTATGGACACGCTGTGTTTTCTTAGCCTCATGAGGAAACAGAGATGTTGCTGTGCTTTCTTGACCGTTGTGTCGATGTGGGTGGACCAGGACGGATTGTTGGTGATCGTCACTGCCAGGAACATGACACTCTCAGTCATCTCCACCTCAGCACCATTGATGCAGACAGGGGCGTGAATTCTACTTTGTTTCCTGAAGTCAATGACCAGCTCCTTCATTTTGCTGATGTTGATGGAGAGATCGTTGTCTTTACACCATACTGCTCAGCACTCTATCTCTTTCCTGTACTCTGTCTCATCGTTGTTTGAGATCCAACCTACAAACAGTGGTGTTGTCAGCAAACTTGTCAATGGAGTGAAATTTGGCCACACAGTTGTGAGTGTATAACGAGTATAGTAGGGGTCCGAGTACGCAGCCTTGTGGGGCACCAGTGTTGTCATATATTCTATGGGTGAGGAGGTTATAGAGATAGGGATGTGTACAGGCTGGAGGAAGTGACAGAGATAGGGAGGGTCAAGTCTGTGAAAGGATTTGAAAATAAGAATGATAATTTTAAAGTCAGGAATAAAACTGGGGGAAGAAATTGAGGTGAGGTTTGGGCTTTAAATGGTTCTGTGAATGTGCAGTGAGTTACTCTGTGTGTAACATGAGCTAGCACAGTGATATCAGCAGAGAAAAACGCATCACTCATAAAGCAACAGGGGGCTAAGGACGATAAACTGAACCTAGACCCACCAGGTAATGGCAGAAAGAAATCACCACCACCAGAGAGAGAGTCAGAGACAGAAAGGGAAAGAGGCAAACAGAGAAAGAGAGTGTGATAGGGAGAGAGGGACAGCTAGAGAGACAAAGAGAGGGAGCAGAGAAAGAAAGAGGCAGATAGAGAGAAGAGTACAGAGATACAGAGAAACAGAGACAGAGGGAAAGGGCGAAAGAGAGACAAAGTATTGACAGAGATATAAGTACATAGCAAACGGATTAATTTTGGAAGTATAATCAACGTTAAAGAGAACATGTATACAGATAAATCCCACAGTACTCATCCTCTGACAGTGCCCACTCCCTCAGCACTGACCCTCCGACAGTGCGGCACTCCCTTAGCACTAACCCTCCGACTGTGCGGATCTCCCTCAGCACTGACCCTCCACAGTGCGGCGCTCCGTCAGCACTGACCCTCCGACAGTGCAGCACTCCATCAGCACTGACCCTCCAACAGTGCGGCTGTCCCTCAGCACTGACTCTCCGACAGTGCGGTGCTCTGTCAGCACTGACCCTGCGACTGTGCGAATCTCCCTCAGCACTGACCCTCCAACAGTGCGGCTGTCCCTCAGCACTGACTCTCCGACAGTGCGGTGCTC